GTCAGACCAGCTTTCGAGGAAGGACGACAACAACCAGTCAACCACCACGTGGTTTTGGATCCGAACGTGATACATGTAATTGGAGTATTGGACAAGACACCAGGGCCCTGCACATGAATAACAAAGCATCAGTAAATTTCGAGGCAGGAGGATAGGCAACCACGTGCTTTTGGAATCGGACCAAGTAGCAGGGCCGTGCATTTTGTGCGACAAGCAATGATATGAGTAAGGAAAGTTGACTGGACTGAGAAAATACGCTCCGGTACTTAACAATTATAACACAGGCAATTCTTGCTGCTTTTTCAGGAATTCGAGACTGAACCAAAAACTTTAGCAATCACTTTGAAAATTTAATAGTTGCTTAACTTGACAGGCCAGTTCAGCAAAAACTACTCAAATATATTTAACAGGCTTACGTACTGTACATGTATGCTTAAGTTTGCTCACATAATTTACAAAATAAAACTGGCATTGAAAGTTTCAACCCACAAAAAACCTGAATTTACACTGCTTGCGTTGAAATCAATGTTTACAGAACTCTCAAATTGCATGAAAAAAATTGAGCCGGGTAGTCGGGTACATGTATAATTTTATCATGTTTGGGCACTGAAGCTAGTTATTGATAAATCAGGAAAAATCAGAGCCAGTCTCGAGTTTAATTTTAGTATTATGATTATTTCAAAAATGACCAATGTAAAATGTCGGAAACAGATAAGATGTGATTATAGTGTCCAGTCCATTCCTCAGTTATGTTTATATCCTCTGCTCAATGGATTTGTCGCGGGGTTTACAGGATTATCTCAAATTGTCATGGAGGAAAGTGAGGTATCGGACATTACTTGGCTTCAAACAAGCTCGCTTTGCGTTGACAATATTGCCAGCGGTGCTGAATAGGCGTTCCGATGGGACACTCGTCGATGGAATGGCCAGATATTTATTAGCCATTTTGCTAAGAAACTTGAACCGCGGTGCGTTCACTTTCCACCAGGACAGAGGATTCCCTTCCAAACTGATTGACGGTTCTGCGGCATAACGGCGGACTTCATCGACGGCCAAGGCATCAGGGGCGAGGGGCGCAATCGGTCTTGAGGCTTTGTACATTTCGCCAAAGATGGACTTGATTTTGGAGATTTTTGCTGGGGGCTCGTCAGGCTCTCTGTCAGTATCCCTCTCCTCTCCGGTGTTCTCTTCCTCTGCCATCTGAGTGACTCGACTAGTTATCATGTCGTGCACCCGACTGACTTCTTCCGCTTTCATCATGGGGAGCGCCTTGAAGCGTGGGTCAAGAAAACTGCACATT